AAGGAATGGAGCTGGACCACTAACTTATATAAGACATGAATTAACTCAAAATGGGTAAAAGACTTGAACGTAAGGCCTGAAATCATATCTCCTAAAGATCAGTATTAGCAATGATTTTTTGCATCTGACACCCAAAGTAAAGGCAACAAAAGGAAAAAATAAACAAGTGAGATTACATAAAACTAAAAAGCTTCTGCACAGAAAAGGAAACCATTAAAAATACAACCTAATCAATAGGGGAAAATAATTTGCAAATCATATATATGATAAGGGGTTAATATCATATATATATATAACTCATACAACTCAATGGCAAAGAACCCAAAGAAAATCAATTTATAAAGGGATAGAGAATCTGCATAGATATTTCTTTAAAAGAACTTACGGATGCCCAACAGGTACATGAAATGGTGCTCAGCATCACCAAATAATCAGGGAAATGCAAATCAAATCCACCCTGAACTATCACCTCACACCAGTTGGAATGTCTTATCAAAATGATGAGATAAGTGTTGGTGAGGATGTGGAAAAAGAGAACCCTTGTGCACTGTTGGTGGGCTTGTAAATTGGTGCCACTACTATAGAGAGCAGTTTGGAGGTTTCTCAAAAAAATTAAAAATAGAACTACTATGTGATCCAGCAGTTCCACTTCTGGGTATTTATCTGAAAACACTAACTCAAAAAGATATATGCCACCCCATGTTCATTGCAGCATTATTTACAATAGCCAAGTCATGGAAACAAGCTAAGTGTCCATCAGTGGATTAATGGATAAAAAAAATGAGACACACACACACACACACAGAGGAATATTACTCAGCCATTAAAGAAAAAGACATTTTGCCATTTGTAACAACACGTATGGATCTTGAGGGAATTATGCTAAGTGAAATTAGCCAGACAAAGAAAAGACAAATATTGTACGATCTCACTTATATGTGGAATCTCAGAAAACCTCGAAAAACAGGTTGGTGGTTTCCAGAGTTGGGGGTGGGCAATATCAGTGAAGGGGGTCAAAAGTTACAAACTTCCAGTAAGAAAATCAAGTCATGGAGATGTCATGTACAGCTGGGTGACTATAGTGAATAATAATACTGTATTGTATATTCTATGCTTAGAATAGATCTTAAAAGTTCTCAGAAGAAATATTTACAACTATGTATGGTGACAGATGTTAACTAGACTTATTGTGGTGATCATTTCACAGTGTATACAAATATGGAATCATTATTGTTGTACACCTGAGATTAATATAATGTTATATGTCAATTATACCTTAATAAAAAAATCAGCATGCAAAGCTTTACTTCAGATCTGCTATATCAGAATTAGCAATTTTAACAGTATTCACAGGTGATTTACATTAAAGCCTGAGACATTATTTGCCTAGAGGGTTTTAGAAGAAATAAGAAGGGGGTGAGAGTATTTGATGGGAAAGACCTATTTTTCTCTTTTAGGAAAAATAATTACTGAGAATGATCAATGTGCACTGTATGTCCCCTTGATTGACCTCAATGATATAATACAGAAATTTCTCCCATGTGTAGCCAGATCTGTTCCCAATTGTCATTTCACAAGCTGCCAATAAGTGGAGAGCCGTAAAGCAGAGCTGCCTTGGGCTGAATGAGAGCTATCAGAAGTGGACTCTTCCAGGTAAGAGAAAGATGATATCCCCCAGGCGTCGGAGCAAGGGGGAGCTCATGCCTCTTTGATTATGAAGCACATACATTAGGTCACTGGAAGTAAGTGGGGGTTGGTAGAGGTGCCAAAAAGGAGCGTCTGGTCGAATGTGTTGACTGGCCAGCATGAACATTGTCCCCTGACTCACCTGGGACACAAATGACTTATGTGTTACAAGTAAATTCTGTGGCCACATTTCCCCAAATAACATCTGATCTTCATTAGAGATGGCACAGTGTATTAACCAGATAGGAAATTCCAAGTGATTGTTCTCCAGAGAACACACCTTGGGGTGAGGGTGGGATATGAACGCAGCAATGTATGGATAGCCAGTTCCAACGAGTTTTGAGTTGCTAACTGGCCAAAAGCATCTAGTCGCATTAGTTCATACAATAACAAAAAGAATTAAGAGCCTTGTGGTTGTTTTGGGTTGGCCAAGCTGTTGTTCAGACAACAGCCACTCAGAAACTAAGCCTGATCAATCAGAAGGATCAGGCTACCAAGGAGCCCCAGCCCCCGACAAAGCACAGTAGTTGTTACCACACAGCTGATGATCAGCCCTGGAAGACAGCTCTTAGATGCTCAGTAGGTCTCCAGATCAGTTGTGAACACAGTACACACATTCTAGCAGGTTGAAGATGGAGGCTTAAGTGGACACTGAGCTCGCTCCCTCTTAAGAGCACATAGAATGTACAACTGTCCCTATAGCACTTCCTCCTAAGAGACAACCCTGAGCCAATTGAACAGCTTTTGCACAATAAGCAAGAGAGAGACTGTGTAGAGAAGTTTGGGGAACTGTGAGAGTTCTCTGGAGCTGAGGGAAAAACTCAAGACGGGAGGAACGGCTGAGCACCAGAGCTGGTTTCCCCTGCGCGTGGATAACAGGCGGGAGCTCTAGCCAGGTTCTCGGGCAGACATGCAGGGGGCTACAGTGTGTCCACAGCCTCTCCTCCTGCAGCTAGATCCAGCAGGAACAGGAGGGCTCCGTAACATGCCTACAAGAGGCCCCTCCACCCAGAGATGGATCCAGCAAGTACGGCAGGGTGATGCTGTACATGTACACAGGACTCCCCCTTCCAGACAGAGTGCAGAGCTAGAAAAATGCTGCAGTCCTCACGAGCGGGGCTACCCTGTGCAGAGACAGTGGGTGCTACTATGTGCCATGTGGTGCTGCCCCCCTGCAGAGTGTGGAGCGAGTAATACGCTATGGTACCCACATGTGGGGCTGCCCCGTGTGGAGTGAGAGGGTTGCTGCTGGGAGAGAGAGCAGATAGCAGAGTGCAGCTGTGTGTGCACAAGGCTGCCCCACCCAGAGAATGAGTGCAGCTTAGGAGGGCATTGAGAGGCAAGCACACAGAGCAACCCTGCCCAGACCCTGCTCCGACAACAGATAATTAAGACAGCAGGGCACACCAGCACTAGGCAGCCCCGCCCAGATTAGAGGGACAAGGGAGCATGGACACACCAGGCTGCCCAGAACCCACTCCTCAGGTCAGGCAACACAGTAGGCACCACATGCACCTGCCCTGACTACACATGGGCCAACAAAACTGTTTGACACATGGAGACCATCTTTTCAAGTCTGGGAGAGAGAGCTATTCCATCCAGCCCATAGGGATGAATACAGAAGAACATGCCCCAAATGAAGGAACTAGAAAAAACTCCAGAGAAATTCCCTCGTGAAATGAAGTAATTTTCCTGGTAAAGAATTCAAAAAGCCCTGGCCAGGTGGCTCAGTTGATGGAGTGTCATCATGTACACCAAAAGGTTGCGGGTTTGATTCCCAGTCAGGGCACATGGCCAGGTTGCATGTCCAATCCTCGGGAGGGGTGCATAGGGGAGGTAACCAATTGATGTTTTTCTCTTACATCAATGTTTCACTCTCTCCCTTTCTCTCTAAAAATAAAAAAAATTTGGGGACGTGAACAGACATCCAGGTCCAGGAAGCACAGAGAGTGCCAAACAAAATGAACCCAAAGAGACCCATAGTAAGACATATTGTAATTAAAATAGCAAAAGTAAAGATAAAGACACCGTCTTAAAGGAAGCAAGAATGAAGCGAGTCACAAGGGAAAACTCATAAGGCTATCAGCTGATTTCACAGAAACAATTTTACAGGCAAGAAGAGCATGGCAGGAAATATTCAAAGTGCTGAAAGTATAGTATTCTACCACCTAGAATTTGCTTATGCAAAAACGAAAGGAGTTCACGACCACTAAACCAGCCTTATAAGAAATGCTAAAGGATCTTCTTTATGCAGAAAGAAAAGGCCATAACTAGAAATAAGAAAATACAGGAAAGAAAAAAAAATCTTACTGGTAAAGGCAAATATATAATAACTACAGTAAATCAAACATTTAATAGCAGCAAAATTAACTAAACATACAATAAATAATCAGGGGATACACAAAACAAAAAGATTTAAACATGTCAAAATAAAGAATGGAAGGGGTGTAAAAATGTAGTGCTTTTAGAATGCAATTGAACTTCAATGCCTATCAGCTTAAAATAGACTGCTGTAGCTATAGATGAATATATATGAACGTTATGGTAACCATAAACCAAACCCATAAAAAACACACAAAAAACTAAGAGAAAGAAATCCAATCAAAACCCTAAAGAAAACCAACAAATCAAAGAAATCAAGAGCAGAATAAAGGCACAGAGAACAACAACAAAATGGCAATAAGCACACACCTATCAATATATTATATGTAAAGGGACTAGATGATCCAATCAAAAGACAGGGTGACAGAATGGATTAAAAAAATGACCCAATACACATGCTGCCTATAAGAGACTCATTTTAGATAGAAAGACACACACGGGAAAAGATATTTATGCATATAGAAATGAAAAGAAAGCTGGAGTAGCAATACTCATATCAGACAAAATAGTATTTAAAACAAAGAATATAAAAAGAAAGACATTACATAATTTTAAAGGGGTTAATCCGAGAAGAGGATGTAACAGTTGTAAATATCTCTGCAGAAGGGCACCCAAGAATATCAAGCAACCATTAATGGACATAAAGGCAGAAATTCACAGTAATACAATAATAGTTGGGGACTTTACTACTCCACTTACTTCAATGGACAGATCATCCGGACAGAAAATGAGTATGAAAATAACTGCTGTACGTGCCACATTAGACCAGTTTGACTTAATAAACATTTAGAGAGCATTTCATCCCCAAACTTCAGATGACACATTGTTCTCAGTGCACATGAAACATATTCCCGGATAGATCACATACGAGGCACCTCCTACTGTTGCAGGGTCAGCACCCTGAGATTACCTGTCAGATACATTCCTCTCACCTGGCCCCAGCTGGAGAAGGCCCACTCCACACAGAGCTGCTGGTTACAGGCCTGGGTGTCCACCGGCCTCTTGGCAAGCTGTGTGCACATGTCATTGGACACGGGAGTGGAGATCCCAGAGGCTTTCAGCTTCTGGCAGGTCACCCGGCGGGTCTGGATGCCTCCCCCACAGCTGCGGGTACAGGCGGACCAGGAGGTCACCATCCACCTGTGGAGAGGAGGAGGTGTCAGTCTCGGGGAAAGGAACGAGGCTGTATGCTCTCAGGAAAAGAGCCCTCCCCCCCGGCTCTCACCACACAGCTGCTCATTTGGGGGCCATGGCCCTTTTTACTGTATGTACTTGGAGTGATAGGCTGAAAATGGCCGCCCCAAAGAAACCTCCGGCAAATCCCTGGAACCTGTGAATGTTACTTTATTTGGACAGAGGGGCTTTGCAGATATAATGAGGGATTTGGGGATTATCCTATGTTATCTGGTTAGGCCTTAAACGTCATCACAAGTATCCTTGTAAGAGAAAGACAGAGGGAGATTCCACACAGAAGAGGAGACGACAGTGTGCTCACAGAGGCAGAAGAGGGAGTGATGTGGTCACAAGCCGAGGGATGCTCAGAGGCATCAGAAGCTGTAAGGGCCAAGGAACAGATGCTCCCCTAGGGCCTTTGGCGGGGGCACAACCCTGCTGACACCTTGATTTTGGACTTCCGGGTTTCAAAACCCTGAGTTACACGGCTCTGCAGTTCTCGTACTTCTTACCGGCACCCGGTGTGCGGCAGAGAGACAGTTCCCAGGGAAGTCCCATCCAAACCTGTGCTTTCCAACCATTCCACTCACCTCCTGACCCAGGAGCAACCTGGTCTCACTGAAGCCCACATTGTTTCTGCTGGTACCCACTGTATTTTCTGCCTCGCCTTAACCCATGTCTCTGATGTTGTCCCTCAGGAGCATGCAAGCTCCTTCCAGCGCTCTGGAGCTACGTGCCCCCTCTCTGAGTCACGGTCCGTAGGTCTTGCACCTCTTAGAGAGCTGAAAGGAGTTGTCCTCAGAATACTTGGTTCCAACTATAGTTCGGATCCTTGGAAGTGAGACTGGCCAACACTGAAACATGGCTTTTTTCATAGAGCCCAGATGGCAGCTGGCAAACCCTGAGATCCCCGGTCCATGTACAAACATGCAGGGGCTCTCTTTGCATGTTTACGCCCTAGGATAATTCTCAGAGAGGAGGAGGGAAGGGGGGATAGGTTGGGGAAAACAGTGAGAAAAGACGGTGCTTTCCAACCATTTCACTCAAACTGGAGGGTGGGAGGGAGCATTCTTTGGTTTTATTGCCCGAGAAAAAGTTTGTCTAAATGAAATGGTCCTGTGTGGGCCCACACAGGACTGCCCACAGCTATTCAAAAGAGAGGACCAGGGTGCCTGCCCCCCCACCCCGCCCTTTTTTTTTTTTTTTTTGCATCTGCAAGGAAGGCTGCTGAAGTGCCCGAGGTGGGACAGCCACTCAAAGGTGAACCTGTGGCCACTTCCTAGTGCAGTCTCTCTTCCTAGTCTGGCTCTCAGGAGAGGCCAGGAGCAGGGACAGGAGGCCAATTCCTCCAGCGCCTGGATCTGTGATTTATTTTGTTTGGTGGAACTTCCCTGCTCCGTTTGCCCTGGAGAGAGAGGACTGCGTGCAGAATTCCAGCCTACAGAAGCAGAGCCACTTAGGAAGCAGGCGCGAGGCGTGTGAAAGCTCCTGGGGGCCTGAAACCCTACCAGACGCGGCCGTTATTTCATCTGCAGAAGTAAATGAGGCTGATTGACTCTGACTATCACCCCAGCAAATCAGAAAGCCCCTGGCATGTCCGAGACCGCTTCTTCATTTCACACAGCTTGGCAAGGGCAGTCTTCCAGGCTCGCATATCCCTGGTGAATGTCAGGCCTGCATTTCAATCAACTTTTATTTCCAAATATACATTTCAGCAATTTTTCAGGAGCCGGGGCGAGGGGTTTGAGAGAGGAGAGGTACGGGCTATGTTACAGTTCAGGAAGGGTATAAAAGGACATTAATCATTCCCGTGGAAACCTTCCCGTCAGCAAGTCAAACTGCTGATATTAATGAGCGTGTTTCATATTTCATTGAGTCTCTCCTGGTTTCAGCTGCTCCTCATGACTCAGCTGGCAAAACACGAGGCGGTTGCCTAAGTGGTGTACGCAAGCCCTACAGCTAGGCAGTGGAGGGGCATTTCAGGGACCAGCCAAGTCCCCCCAGGCTCAGGGCACCATGCTGGTGCCAACTCGAAGCCCATCCATTATCCCTGCAGCTACTGACTGAGGACTGCGGTGGGCATGCTCAGTGGGACTCACAGCTTCTCAAAGCCCGAGGAAGCTGTGAGAGGCAGAGACTGTGGGTGTCAGTCTGGGCTCTGTGAGGGTCCCAGATGCAGAGAATGTTTAGCCAACATTGAGGCAACTAAGGAAATGAAGACGTAGTTCAATGTTAGCAGGATGCCACTGTTTGGGGAAAAGAAGGGGATCAGATTCTTCGACTAAGCTGAAGTATTGATTAGCATAGGTATTTAAAGTTTGAAGGAAGGGGAAGGATAGAGGTCGAGGCAGTAATCCCCATCCCTGAGCACTTCAGCTGCAAACACATTTCTTCTCCTACAAACAGAGCCAGTTTCTCACTGCAGGATGCGAGCTATCTCTTGCCAGCGCCTGGGATGTACCTGCCCCCTGAACAGAGCCTTTCAGGTACAGGGATGCCCGGGGAAGCCCTGAGAGGTGAGGGGTAGTTTCTGCAGAGTGCCGAGTCTGGACAAAGCCGTGCTTGTAGGAAAGAGCAGCTCCTTGGAGGGCATGTCCCCCTCTGCACTGAAGTTCCCCCCTTGCATAGTACTAGACAAGGAAGGGCTGGCCACCAACTTGGCTAAAAGCCGGGGTCCTTACTGGGGGGCGGAGAGGCCTGAGCCAGCCTCTGCCTCACTCACCGGGAAGGGCAGTCTCTCCGGTTGCAGGGGACGGGATGCACGGCAGGGCGGACCTTCCCTGCGCAGTGAGCAGGGTTGACCTCTGTGCTGTTCAGGAGACACCGCAGGCGGGGCTGCTGAACGCCCCTGTTCCCACAGGAGGCGGAGCAGGTTGCCAGTCTGTCCACAGACCACCAGTAATCTGTCACAGAAGGTGAAAAGCAGAGAGCATTACTGCCCATGCTCTATATTTCTTCTGATAGGGCGCTGGGGGAGGAGGGGGATGGTTGTTATGAATGAGCCTGGCCCCTCAGTTTATCCAGGCAAGTTATGTGGTCTCCAGAGCCCTCCGTTGGCTCACCCAGAAAATGAGCACAATAGCTCTTAATAACCTCAAGTTATTATGAGGCCTGGATAGAACGAAGGTCAAGAGCCTCGCCCAGGGCCTGGCACAGAGAGAGTATTAATCAGCGGCTGCAGCTCTTATTCTTTTTAAACATACTTCTTAAAGCACTCTTTTTTTTCCAACTGGCTCACCAGAAAGTGACCATGTTTTTCAACAAGAGAGAGAAAAATATCAGAGATACTTCACAATCGTATTTAAAAGTGCAGATTCAAGTTGGACATTGTAGCTGCTACGAAAAACCAACCTACCCAGAGAGCCCTCGATGACGTGAGTCACCGACGTAACCAGACAGTGAGAAAGGCAATTTCTCTGCATTTTCTGTGTGGGGGGCCTGGGACTCACTGGCAGGGAAGCTGTTAAAATAACTGTGGGCTGGTAAACTGTGAGCGCTTATTTGCAAAGTTGCGTGTTACAAATCTTGCAGATAGGATCCGGTTTCCACCAGAGAATGGCTGGCTGGCAAGACAATGGAATACTCACTTTCTTGTCTGGAAAGCCAAATGGTGGGGGAGGATGTTTAAGGGAAAAAGGGGGAGGATGTGCTCAGAGGTCTCCCTTTTTATGGGCTATATTGACATACAAGTCTGTTGCCTCCCACAGAATCCTCCATTCAGAATACACAGTGGACTTTTGCTTTCCCTGAAAGTGTCACACACCGACCACAGGTACAACCGGCCTATGGAAAACTCAAGAGCCTCCTTTAGTTTCTATGACAAGGCCAGTGATGGCTCCCCTCCCACTGTATTGGGCTCATCCATACTTTCTTGGTGCAGCAAATACCAGGCCCTGCCCAAGGGCTTTCTGAGCCGCCAGTGTTCCTGGAAGTTGAATGCACCAGCCACACAGGCTTCTCAGTCTGGTCTTTGACTGGCTCATGGGAGAGGAACCTGGAGAGCACTCAGTGTGCGACACAGATGAAGGCTCCAGGGTGATGGGCAGGTCCCGGCACCGGCCCTGACTCTCCAGGGCGGGAGGCAATAACCAAGTGGTTCCAAATCTGTCTTATTTTGGAACCAAACCAACAGACAAAATTTGCATTTTTCGTAACAGGCTACTTTACACTCAACTGCGTGTTTTCTTTACAAATTCACCCAGCATAAAGGAAATGCATTTGACTTTACTACAAGATGGTGTTTCCTGGGTCCCACCTATGAGAGCAGCACTGACTCTTCCAGATTCTGCTGCTGTGGGGCCTGGTGGCTCTGCTGAGGGGCCTCATGGGATGGAAACATGGTTCAGCGTCAGTTTTCACATTCTAGGGACCATTGGAAACCAGAAGTCATTTCGTCCACTACAGAACTAGATTCTCAGGGGGACTCACTTGTTCAAGAAATAAGCCCAGCACCCAAAGTCCCAAGGGTTCTTACCTTGGATGATAAGAGAGGCCTTCTGCACGAGCACGCCTGCCTCGTTCTGGGCGAGGCAGCTGAATTCCCCCTGAGACTCGTTGCTTAGATTGGCAACCTGGAGAATCTGTCCAGCTGCCAAGATGTGATGTGTCAATCCTGTGACAGTGGCAACTGACTGGCCACCATGGAACCAGGTGATATTGGGGGTAGGGTGACCTTGGATGGGGCAGCCTGGAGAGGAGAGGAGAGGAGAGGAGAGGTAAGCTACCGGTAAAGCCAAAAAGGGCACATTCCTGATGAGTTGTTTTAGTGTGTTTGTGGCTCTAGGGGCCCTGGGTACAACATGGTCCTCCCAGGGCATTTTTCTTCTGCTTGCCATTCCCAAGCAAACAGGAGATGTTTGTGTACTCTGGGTTCTGGGAACATGACTATTATTCGTTCAATTAAGTAAAAATTCTTGAAGGACACAAAGTGCCTATTTCTACCTATGTCCCTGTACTGACTTAAAAAAATGAAGCAATTCATATTTACTCATTGAACACTTTTTGGAGTTAATTAGTTCCTACACCAATTTTATAATGAAAGAAATCATTTCTTCAAATGCAGTGAGTTCAAAAAGGTACACACTATATAGTAATAGTTAAGAATCAAACTTTAGTTGGTAAAAGTCTAATATCTGCCTCCATTTTACTCTTATTTTTAAAATATATTTTATTGATTTTTTACAGAGAGGAAGGGAGAGGGATAGAGAGTTAGAAACATCGATGAGAGAGAAACATCGATCAGCTGCCTCCTGTACCGCCCCCCCCGACCACTGGGTATGTGCCCGCAACCAAGGTACATGCCCTTGACCGGAATCGAGCCTGGGACCCTTCAGTCCACAGGCCGATGCTCTATCCACTGAGCCAAACTGGTCAGGGTCCATTTTACTCTTTATGTGATTTTTCAAGCCAAAATTTTTCAACAGAGACTAGGAAAACAATTTTAAATACTAATTTCATTTCTCTATAAGTCAAGAACCTTGGCATTCAGACAATTCTTACCAAGCCTGCACTGGACATGTACAACATCACACTTATTTACACAGTCATTGAACATATTTTGATACATTAAAATTCCAAAATATTAAACGGAGATACCGTATCAACTAAAGGCTTTGTAGCATAGAATTAGTAAAATAAACTGAGCGGTTGTGAGAGAAAACTCATTTCCTCTCATTTCAGAGTTCTTGCTGAATTTGCTGTTGTGCTCCCAGCAACTTAGCTTCCACTGAAAATTTACTTGGAAGTTTAAAACACATGATAAGTCATTAAAAATTAAAATATTAGAGGATTTCCTTCAGTTAAAAAAAATCTATTGGTAACTACTATTCTGGGGACAGTTAAGATTATCTTTCCTCTTGCAAGAAAATAGCCAATGACAGAGTATAAAAAAAAAGCACGCTAATAAAACTGAAATACAAAGCAGAAAATGATGAGATCTATGACACACATAGATGGCCATCTGCATGGATGTGTGTGCCTATGGGTCTGTAAAGAAAAGGGATTTTCTAGTGTTGGCTTGTTTTCTATTCTGGGGCAGCACTGTTAGGATTGGTATAGGAGGCAGACTTAACAGAGGAAAGGCCCTTAGATATCATCTAGCCCACTTCCAGAGGAGGAAACCAGGGCTCAGAGATGTTAAGAGACCTTCCCAAGGTCAACGAATAGGCCTTCTGATCCCTTGCCATGTGTACTTGTTCAGCTGGGCACCAGCATTATGCAGGCACCTTGTTACCTACATCCTTTGTCTGCTCACTCCTTTCAGCACCTTGCCCTTTCTTTCTGCTTTTACATTTTTATTGTAATTGTGTAGGTTGAAGGGGTTGGAACAGACTACTCTGAAGAAGGGCCCTGGAAAAGTAATGCTAAAATCTGCATAGGAAGCTCAGTATAGGATATAGTGTTACAGGAGCAATTTTTTACTCTTCCCTGTATTGACTCCCTCTGCCATGTAACTGTGCAGTGCCCTCCCATGATGGGTGCGCTGTACTTCCCCACCTCCTTCCTGACCTTGGCCATGTGACTACTTTGGCCAATAAAGTGAGTTAGGTGTTACACTAACAATAAACAATCTGAAGAGGAAATTAAGAAAAAACAATTCTCCTTACAGTAGCATCAAAAAGAATAAAATACTTAAGAATTAGCTTAACTAAGGAGGTGAGACTTGTGCATTGAAAATTACAAAACATTGCTAAAAGAAATGAAAACATGAATAAATGGGAGGATATCTCATGTTCATGGATTGGAAGATTTAATATTGTTACAATGTCAATAGTCCTCAAAGTGAACTACAGATTCAATTCAATGGCTATCAAAATCCTGATGATGTTCTTTTGCAAAAATAGAAAAATCTATCTAATAATTCAGATGGAATCTTTAGAGATCCCAAGGAGTCAAAACAATTTTTAACCAGAAGAACAAAGTTGAAGGTCTCACACTTACTGATTTTAAAACGTATAAAACCACAGTAATTGAAAGAGTACAGTACTGGCATAAAGACAGACATAAAGACAGACAGATAGATAGAAACCCCAGAAATAAACTCTTGCAGATATGGTCAAATGACTTTCAAAATGGGGGCCAAGAGCATTCCAAGAGCATTCAATAGGGAAAGGACAGTCTTTCCAACAAATGGTGCGAGGAAAACTGGACATCCACATGCAAAAAATGTTGAATACATCACATGTAAAAATTAACTTAGAATGGGTCAAAACCTAAACCTAAGAGTTAAAAGTAAAAAATCTTAGGAGAAAACATAGGGGACAAGATTCATGATAATAGCTTTGGTGAAGATTTCTTGGAAATGATGCTAAAAGCACAGATGGCAAAAGAAAAATGAGATAAACTGGAGATCATCAGAATTGAAAGCTATTGTGCAAAGGACACTTATCAACAGATTGAACAGGCAACTCACAAAATGGGAGAAAATGTTTGTAAATCATAGATCTGATAAGGCAGTAATAGCCAGAATATATAAATAATTCCTACAAAAATAACAATCACAAACAACCACATTAAAACACAGGCAAAGAATTGAATAGTCATTTCTCTGAAGATATACAAATGGCCAATAAGCACACGAAAAGATACCTGCTCAACATCACTAATTATTACAGACATTAGGATGGTTATAAAAAAAATCCAACAACAGAAAATAAAAAGTGGTGTTAAAGATGTGAAGAAATTATAACTCTTGTACGTTGGGAATGTAAAAAGGTGTAGTCGCTGTGGAAAACAATATGACAGTTCCTCAAAAAGTTACACATATAATTTAGCAGTTCCACTTTTGGATATGTACCCAAAAGAACTGAAAGTAGGGACCCGAACAGGTATTTTTACACCAACGTTCGTAGCAGCATTATTCATAGTAGCCAATGGATGACAACAACCCAAATGTCCATCAATGGGTGGACAAACAAAAATCAGATACATTTGATGACATGGATGAACCCTGAAAACATTAAGTGAAAGAAGCCAGACGCAAAAGGATATTGTATAATTCCACTTATATGAGATACATAGTGTAGTCATGTTCATAGAATAGTGATTGCCAGGGGCTGGGGGAAGGGGAAATGGGGAATTATTATTTAATGGGTACAGAGTTTCAGTTTGGGATGATGAAAAATGGTGGAGATGCAGAGCATGATGACTGCACAATAATATGAATGTCATTAATGCTACTCAACAGTACACTTAAATATGGTTAAAACAGTAAACTTTATTTTGTGTGTATCTGACCACAATAAAAGAAATGAGGCAGATGTGCTGGTGTACCAGCTCCAAACACTAGACCTCAAGAGACCTTGCGAGTCCTTGCTTGTGGTCCTGTGCTGTGGCCATTGCCAGTAGAAGAACAAGCCTGGACTGGCCTGACGATCCCAAGAGGAGGATGAGGGAAACATGGCAGACAGCCAAGTCACCCTAGACAAACCCAGTTTAGATAAGCTGAGCTAAATAAGATCAGTAAGAATAAATGATTGTTATTTGAGGCCACTGAATCTTGTTTTTCTTTTCTTTCTTTCTTTTTTTTTAAATGCAATTTCTTTTTCTTCTTTTTAAAAAATGCTTCTCCTCCTTTTTCATGGCAATAGTTAACTGATGCACTTAGGGAGAAAATAATCCCTTCCAGTTCTTCTCCTTGATCCACGTGTTACATTGTAACTAGTTTATTAATATGAGTAATAGGAAGAAAGCAAAGGGGAGGCCAGACATTGTAAGCATAGTTACTGGGCATCTTTACCAGGAAGCTGTAATTTTATACCCCCCAGGGAACCACAGGTCCCTTCCCTGCAAATAACTGGGGCCAGAGGTCCAACAAAGGGGAAGATGGGCGCATGAGCAGTGAAGTCGGGGTGAAGTAGGGGAGATGCCTGTCAGTCTAGCCTGGGAACTATGAATTGGCTAGAGGGGTTGAGCAACTGCAAGCGTGCAATATCCTGAAGGACTCATTGGTTAAGCTTCTAGTTAAAATCTTCAAAGAAACTTTCCCTCTCTTGTTCCTTTTGTTTCATTCCTGCTTCCTTGCACTCACTTGTTCTGGCCTGTGTGGTTCAGTGGTTGAGAGATGACCTAGGAACCAGGAGGTCATGGTTCGATTCCTGGTCAGGGCATATGCCTGGGATTCAGGCTCGATCCCCAGTAGGTGGCATGCAGGAGGCAGCTGATCAATGAGTCTCTCATCATTGATGTTTCTATCCCTCTCCCTCTCCCTTCCTCTCTCTGAAATCAATTAAAAAAGTAAGTCATGCTTTTTTTAAAAAAAAGAAATTCCTCCATTAGTAACCACTAAATTAGATGATCTTTAAGGTGCTTGTAGATTCCAAGATTCCTCAATATCATCTCAAACTCATCTCCTCCCACACCCATGTAGCCAAGGGCAAAATAGATCTATATTCGATGTATACTTAGATCAATATATAGTGAAACTGAACTATGTAAATGAAGGGCTCATGGAAGAGATATTATATTTGGAGGTTATTTACAATTAAAATAAGCAGAGACCAGGGATACAGAGTAGGAAGGGGAGGGCAGTCTACAAGTGGTGTGAGCAAAGATGCAAAAATGAGAAAACAGGTGTTGTGGCTAGAAGAAAATACCAGTTGACTAAAACATGGGGAACACAGGTGAAGCTGGCATGGTGGGCGTTGCAATGGGAAGGATGTTGAAGGCCAGAATCTGGTCTTTTGGGAG